TTTACAAATTCCAAAATGACCGAGTAATTTTCCTCTTTATGCGTTAGAACTCCACTATTCACTGTCGTGCTCAAATTTGTCCCCTTTTGGACCCTACCCTGAGCAAGTTCAGATCCTCCCATCCGTTTAAATCCTGTTTCTCTAAATTCTGTTTCGTTATTAGCTTCATATTTCATAAGCGGCCTCCTCATTCGAGGTTTTGAAACTACGGGTAAAGCCTGTGTATGTATGTGAATGAGCAGAATTAGGTTTCTGTATACATACATCATTCTTTTTCCATTAATTCTACAAACTACGCCTATCTCATTCTTTTTCATACAATTAATATCTCGTCCCTGTTTGTAGGGTCATTATATCCTCTCATTTAGGTACGAGCACTGGATGTTAATTGATGTTATAAACAGGTACAAGATATCTTAGAACACTTTTACGTGTACGTAAATGCTGGGTTTTCACTAACAGAAATCAAACTATGGAAATTTCGGAAATTAAACATTGTAGTGATTTGACTCCATGAAATATGATGAACTTATGGTCTTGTTTTCCGCCTATAATGCAACAATATTAATTTATCAACAATAATTCCCTCTTCATTCACAAAATGATCGTTAAATGTTGAAAATGTCATTAAAATTATTAAAATACGTATATGTACATTGGTGTTTCTGTTATATGTTTCAGCCGCATAGGGCCATCTTCAGGCAACATATTTTATAAAGGAGTCTACTGCACTGTGCAATTGGCCAAATAGCGTCAATTAATGCTGTTAATTTAATATCGTTTCATTATAGACGGAAGACAAGATTATAAATTATACCTCAATGCAACATGATGCTAATATAATAGCACGATGAAGAATATGTTTATTAAAATATATATAATTCATGTAAATGTTCACTCAGCCTCGTGAGGATAACTGAGGAGCTATTTCAAGGAAATAGCGGCTCCGGTCTAGAAAACCGAAATTAACGGCCGTGGAGATCCGTTGCACTGACCCCGCGACACCCTCTATCCGCAAAAAGTTGGCACTCACTTCGCCGACAAGCGGCGATCGCTCGGTAGGTAGAGTTCGCTTGCGGACTACAGGCCATGGAGTTTGTTTTTGTTTGATTTAGTTCCCAAAAATATAGTCCGAGTTAAACAAAGCGGAGAGTAAGTATAAGAAGATGTGGGTAGAAATGGAAATTAGTCAAACTCGTACACGACGGATAGTGAACCATTGGTATCGATGTCAGTTTTGGCACCGACGGAAGTGTCTGCTGGCACTAGTAATTCAAAATCTTGCCTATATTAGCATCTAGAATGAGCTGAAAATGGATTTAATTCACCCAGCCACAAAATACTACCCATAAGGTACATTTTCCCTGTTACGTAACCTTTTCTCCTTGAATGCGAGCGGTATGGTTAAAAATACGTCTTCAAGAAAGCGCGGCTTTGTATTATCTAGTCGGTTATTTCGAACAGCGAAGAACAAAAAGCCTGATTTATGAATGTATCAGAATTTCAACTAAACCAAAACCACACATAGGTTAAGAATTACTGAAATAGGATCTAAAAGTTTACGGACACAAATCTCTCGTTGAGTGTTTCGGGCACTACTGAAGCAGCAACAACGACTGGTGTCACTTCTTGTTGGGCAGGTGTAAAGGTGTTACCTGGCAGCGAAAGGGCTCGCAATCCAGGCCTAGACCTAGTTCCTGAATTAGAAGAAGAAGAAGAACTTTGCACTTTCACATAGAGAGAGAGGGAGAGAGAGGGAGCTTGTGTGTAATATTTTGGTTGACCTCAAGACGCCACCAGCGCCATGTAACATAACGCAGCAGGCCACAGACTGATGAAATGTTGAATATTGAAATATTTGTGTAGTGGTTGCGGAATATTTAACGTCTATTCTAGGCTTAATCATGGAGACAGCTCCAGCTTCTGAAAGACTGTTTCATTTTAAATACAACTAAGATAATGGACAATGTCCAACATAATAATCTGACAGTTAATGAGGTTATCCACCCTAACACCTCAATACTGACGCAATATAAACTACGAGAAACACATAAGAATTTAATCGTATCTTAATTAAATTAAATTGTACTAGTCTAAATGTACATAACTTAACCAAACAAGTGATAATATAATCTTGCCTCAATTAAATTAAACTAATATAAGCCAACTTAACATAGGTTAACTATCCTAGCCTAAACTTGCCTAGGCTAACCTAACTTAATTAACATAACATAATCTAACGCAACATAATCTAACTGAATGAAGCAAGTAGTCTACCACAATATAATCTGATATATCAACTTTACCGAAATTAAGCTAACCCTAGGTAAACTAACCCATTCTAACCTATGGTAACTTAACATGTCAAGTTCAGGAGCTATGATTTTAAAGAAGCAGAGAAGATAATTTCAATAAATCCAAGAAAAGGAAAGTGGGAACAGCTCGCAGATCTTGTGTTCGAATTAGAAAAAGAGTAGAAAGAAAATTTTGAAGAACAAGAAGAAAAAAATATGACTGTGTAATTTTATGTTCCTTGTCACATTACGGCCGAAAGCCACTTGCGGAGTAACCTCTCTACGCTTTGTTCTGACTCGCGTTAGAAAGTAAATAAGTGGCGGTTAATAACACTGCCACAGGCGACGTGGTGCAACTCATTCCAGCTCTGCATGTCATTTTTATTTCCTCTCGCCGTGTTTATATGTCCGGTTCGCCTAGCCCGCGGACATCACGGCTTGGCTAAGAACGGACATCGGCAGCAAATATGAGTCCTCAGCTTTATTGTAATTAAACGAATATCGCTATGCATTACACTGCATCTTAATTCCGATCTCTTTTCCGAAAGAAAGAGCCCCCCCCGGGAAATGCGACGTCATTCAAAGCCACTCTGGGTGAGGATACCTTCAAGAGACAACAAAGTTCCGATACTGGAATTCGGCGAGTTTCATATTGAAGAACAAAGCAGCGCCATTTATTAGTTCTCGCCTCCCTTTCTTCACTGTCACCATCATTTACCTTTTCTTTGCTTTTAATTTCATGCTTTTATTCTTCCTTTCAACTTCGTCCCAGCCTTTCATTCTTCTTTTTCTGTTTTAATTTTATTTCTCAATCTCTTCTATGATTATTTTCTTCCTTCCATTCTGTTCGCCCTTCTTCCTTACTTACCCAATCTTCCTTACGTTTCTCCCTCCTCCCATCTTCCTGGGACCCGTCAAGTGACAACCATAGGAGTCCCACAATGCAATTACGCAGCCTATGTTATCTAAGCTGCACCTTCCAGACAACGTTGTTTTCGTGTGACTTAAGAAATTAAGTTCACCAAGCAAATTTAATTTTTGTGTCTTTCCAGCGCTCACTTTCATCGCATCGCGAGGCTTGCTTCCGGCGAGCGAGAGGGGAAACCAATCGCTAAATACACAGCAAATGCATTTCATAATTTTATTCACGTTCATGCGTGGGGCCCGTATTCGGGAAGCAGCTGGTTTGAATCTCAGTTATATACCAGTTGTTTCGATAATTTTCTTGGTTTCGTCAAGTCCTTGCTGGGAAACTCCTTGAAACAGGCTGTAGCCATCCTAATCTGAGCCAGTGTAAGCTTCATATCTTATTTCTTTAAGATTAATTTTAATAATGTCCTCCCAAATGGTATCTTTGAGCCATGTTTCCGGGCTAAAATGTTATATGTAGCTCTCTTCTTCCAATACATTAATAATTCTCCCCACGTTACCCTCTTCATGTAATCTCTCAAATAATGTTTGTTGACGAGAACAAATTATGAAGCTCCTTATTATACGTGTTTCTCCAGCCTCACGTTACTTGCTCTCTCATAGGTCCAAATGTTTGCCTCAACATACAGCCTTACGTTCTTCCCAGAGAGGGAATGCCAAATTTCACACCCATGTGAAAGAACACAATAAGTCCTAATCAGTAGTTAGTCAGCGCTCAAGCGGCCTCCGTAGTCTAGCGGTAACGTTCCCACCTCATGACTCAAGGTACGCGGGTACGCGGAGGTCGTAGGATTTTTAAGGGCGGAAAAATTCAGGGAACAAGTCCTCCGGGAGGGACTTTAAGCCGTGGGTCCCGTATCGTAGCTTTACGGCACGTAAAAGATCCTCATGTCTCTAGGAGACCTCTGAGCAAAATTAGGCAAAGTTTCCCGCCCAAGTAGTTTCCAATGCCTCCGGTAGATGGGGAAGTTATCGGGTATCACTGCCAGCCTCGCTGGCTGAACGGGGCTGATAGCGAGCACCAGTACCGGCAGGGTATGGCGACTGGTAGAATATCAAAGGGGGACGTACAATAGATCAACAACTGGTCGCGGTGCATGGGGAAACCCACCCCCTCCAATAATAATAATAATAATAATAGTAATAGTCATCGCTCATAATCGTCTGGTATTAGAAGTCGTGTAATGTACCTAACTGATATAGCGTCGTTGCATACAAAGTGAAACAATATTAGCCCCTAGTCTCTTTCGACTTTAAACACAGCGTCGTTAAGAACATGCAAACGGAAAAACATTCTTATTCACAATTACTGGGTTTTGGACCTTTTTCCATGGTCCGGTATTCTAGAGACTAGAAAATACGACGTTTCGGAAACTGGAACTGTTTCCTTCCGCAGGCGAAGGGGGAAGACACTTAATCAGTTGAGTCCCTTACAAAGATCTAATCTCGATAATTGGACGATGGAAAAAGTCCAAATTCCCAGTAATTCTGAGTGTTATACACCATTGTCAGAACACTTTAGGACCGACGTTCTTATTTCAACCAATGGCATACTGCGAAAGTTCGCTTGTTTGGCTGTGAAAAGTGAGGGAATAAGAGTCTAAATGGTTAGTGTACTGAGCAACAGGTGCGAAAAACTGAAACACTTATATTTTATGATACGTATAAGGCATTTATTTTCAACGGTTTAATCAGTATCGCATAGGTAGTCTGAGAACGTAAATGGCTAATTCGAAAATTAACAAACACAAGTTCCTGTAATTTTTCATGTTTCAGGTCATGTGACCCACATTCGTGACGTTGCCGGAGAGGACCACGTAGGTATCGGAGCCGGATACGACGGCATTAACAGGTGCGTATGGCCTTGAATGACTTACGATGACAATTAAATGAACAGAGTTTGAAAAAATTGAACCGGAGTCTTGTAAAACACTTCGAGAGCTAAAGTGAATAAGTGTCTAATTCTGAGCGATTATCAGCACCAGAGCTATAGTCTGCTTGTCATTAGGCCTACAGTTAGCTGAGAAAAATTTGATTGTGCGTGTACACACGTTATATATGTATATACAGTATATACAGAGTGTCCCAGGTGTTTGGTGCCGTACTTCAGGAGCGTACTGAGGGTTCCCTATAGAATTACTTTGAAATAGCAGCGCTAGGGCGGCATTTAAAATCATTTCGCTTAAACTTGGCGCCTCAATGTCGAACTGCATTGCACAGAGGAACAGCCATCCACTAGCACTCGTGCCATTGCCAAGATTGTGGGGACATCAAAATCAAGTGTTTGGAGGATCCTGCATCACCAACAGCTTTATCCGTATCATCCACTGCGAGTACATGACGTAGGTCCAGCTGACTTCGTACCACGAGTTCAATTTTGTCAGTGGATACTGAACCAGTGTTTACATCAGCCCAACTTCCTGAATCACGTGTTCTTCACAGACGAAGCGCAGTTTACAAGGAATGACTGGTTCACCTGTCGAAACAGCCACGATTTGGCTGACGAAAACCCCAACGTTACTGTAGTTGGTTACCACCAGGCGCGATTTTCTGTTGATGTCTGGGCGGGCATCATTGGCGATCACTTGATTTGGCCTTTCCTCCTACCGCCGCGACTCAATGGGCCCTTTTACAAGGTATTCCTAGAATGCATCCTTCCGACTTTTCTAGAAGACGTGCCACTGATTGTGCGGAGGCAAATGTGGATACAGCATGACGGAGAGCCGGCACACTTCTGGGATAGGAAGAGGAAGCCCAGTGCCTTGGCCACCCCGATCCCCAGATTTGACACCTCTGGACTATTTCGTCTGGGGCCATGTGGAAAGCCTGGTCTATGACACGCCTGTGGATAATGAATCCGAGCTGTTGGCCAGAATACTTCTTGCATGTGACGTGATCCTCGAGACACCTTGAATATTTGAAAGGGTGCGCCAAAGTTTCTTTCGTCGATGTAACGCATGCATTGCAATGGAGGGCGCCAATTCCAACATCTACTCTAGCAGGCGAATCTTAGGAGTTTGGAGACGGTAATATGCCTGCTCTTCGACATTGAGGCGCCAAGTTTAAACAAAATGATATTAAATGCCGCCCTAGCGCTACTATTTTACTTTTGCGGACATGGGTTCCTATTTCAAAGTTGTTCCATAGGGAACCCTCAGTACGCTCCTGAAGTACTGAAGTATGGCACCAAACATCTGGGACACTCTGTATATATATATATATAGTGCGTCCAAACAAGTGCGCGCCGCGGCTGCAATTTGCCGTGAGTCATACCACCGCAGAACGGATGCAACTCCTCCCCGCGACTGCAGTGCCGTTCCCCGATAGCGTGAGTGTAGTGGTGTCGCTGAGTCTCCGTCCATCAGTTGCTCTACATGCACACATTTATAAGAATACAGTAAAAAGATAACTTACCGTGGTTTATAACAGGTGCTGAAAGTGACCTCCTTCTGCTTGCAAACATGCCGCGCATCTCACAAATAAATTACGCGACACTCTCTGCAGTTCGTCGACGGTAATTGAATGAATTACGCGTGTAATTTCATTTTGAAGACTATCAATGCTGCGGGGATTATTTTTGTAGACTTTTTGCTTCAGGTTGCCCCAAAGATAATAATCAGAAATACTGAGATCTGGGGATCTGGGAGGCCACAGTCCTCTACTGACAATTCTGTCTTCAAACACTTCCTGTATTGCGACCATGGATGCATTAGCCGTATGTGCTGTAGCGTTGTCCTGCTGAAAATACCCGTATTGTCTTTCTTCGGCATTCAACTGATCGAAGAAGGGATTCAGTATGTCATTAATGTACCGATCAGAGTTCACGGTATCGTGGAAAAATATGGGGCCAATGATTCGCCGCGGGCTTACAGCACACCACACACCCACCTTTTCACTATGTAATGGCACTTGCTGTATAGCGTGAGGATTTTCATTGCTCCATATTCTTACGTTTTGTGCATTGACGTGGCCACCAACGTGGAACCACGCTTCATCAGTCATGAATAGAAGCTGAGGATCCACTATTCCATCGTGTACATTTTGCAGCAGCCAGTTGCAAAAACGAATTCTTGCTGCATGATCTGGTTCTTTCAGCTCATGCACAACTGTTACTTTATACGGGCGAAATTTGATTAACTTTGTGGCTGTGCGAGCAGATCCTAGCGAAACACCAGTTTCCTGTGCTAAGCGTCTTAACGATTTTCGAGGACTGATCTGTAATCTTGCCTGAATATCCTTAACCTTTTCTTCAGTCAGCACAGTTCTCTTCGATTGCTTCTTCTTGTCACTCACTGAACCTGTGGCCCGCCACTTTTTCAGAAGCCTGTTTACACACGACTTTGTGGGAACTGGCGAGTCAGGATATTTCTGACGAAACCTACGTGCGAATTTTCTGTAAATGTTTTTCCTTGCAATAGTTTCGACAATAAACACACGCTGTTTAATAGTGAACTTCATTTCCACCGTCTGTCGACAGCTGTAAACATTCCACTCCACTTCCACAGCAAGACAAAGACTGACTGTTTAATGCAACCTCGGGTTCCGATTATGCAACCATCGGCGTAGGAGCACTGCAGTCGCGGGGAGGAGTTGCATCCGTTCTGCGGTGGTATGACTCACGGCAAATTGCAGCCGCGGCGCGCACTTGATTGTACGCACTGTATATATGTGTGTGTGTGTGACCGCCTTTATGATCTAGTGGTCAGAGTCCCTGGCTACAGATTCAGAGGTCCCGAGTTCGATTCCCGGCGCTAAAAGATTTTCTGAGAAGTAGTGGGTTTGGAACTGGGTCCACTCAGCCTCGTGAGGATAGTTGAGGAGCCACTTGAACGGAAAAGTAGCAGCTTCGATCTGGAAAACCGAGATTAACGGGAGTGGGGATCTGTTGCCCCGACTACGCGACGCACTATATCCGCAAAAGTTTGCACTAAATTCGCCGACAAGAGGCGGTCGCTCGGTCGGTATGTATAGTTCGTTTGCGGACTACAGGCCACGGAGTTTGTTTTATATATATACATGAAAATAACATATAATTTCATGCAGATTACTAAATGTTTTAGTCAAACATCTCGCATATTTTTATATTACATAAATGTAAAATTTTACTGATAACGTCATACTCGTAAGTAATCTACTGCAATTTTGTCCTGCCAATCGCCATTCCGCTTCAGCTAAAGATGGGACTTGATCTTTCACCCTTCACTTGGCCCGAAATACTGAAACAATAATAACAGAGGCTCGAGGCCAACCGCAAGAGAGGCGATGTGACATTCTGCTGGACAATGTAGCAGGTATTTTCAGGGTCCGTTTCTTTCCCCTACCAGCCGTCACGCCGTCAACCTTCATGCCCATGTGGACGTCACCGAAGTGTGCCAGACGCACAGACAACTGGCAGAGTAATGCATCCCGGCTACCGAGCTGGGGCTTTCCACTGGTCCGATCTGAGTAAACACGCTTACTTGTGGGCTGATGTGTTAGAGATACTTAGTTATGGGCCGATATGAGTAAAGAAATTTAGTCATTGGCTGATGTGGGTAAAGAAATTTAGTCATTGGCTGATGTGAGTAAAGAAATTTAGTCAATGGCTGATGTGAGTAAAGAAATTTAGTAATGGGCTGATGTAGTTAAAGACATTTAGTCATGGGACGATCTGGGTAAAGAAATTTAGTCATTGGCTGATGTGAGTAAAGAAATGTAGTCATGGACTGATGTAATTAAAGACATTTAGTCATGGGCTGACGTGAGTAAAGAAATTTAGTCATGGGCTGATGTGAGTAAAGAAATTTAGTCATGGGCTGATGTAGTTAAAGACATTTAGTCATGGGACGATCTGGGTAAAGAAATTTAGTCATTGGCTGATGTGAGTAAAGAAATGTAGTCATGGACTGATGTAATTAAAGACATTTAGTCATGGGCTGACGTGAGTAAAGAAATTTAGTCATGGGCTGATGTGAGTAAAGAAATTTAGTCATGGGCTGATGTAGTTAAAGACATTTAGTCATGGGACGATCTGGGTAAAGAAATTTAGTCATTGGCTGATGTGAGTAAAGAAATGTAGTCATGGACTGATGTAATTAAAGACATTTAGTCATGGGCTGACGTGAGTAAAGAAATTTAGTCATGGGCTGATGTGAGTAAAGAAATTTAGTCATGGGCTGATGTAGTTAAAGACATTTAGTCATGGGACGATCTGGGTAAAGAAATTTAGTCATTGGCTGATGTGAGTAAAGAAATGTAGTCATGGACTGATGTAATTAAAGACATTTAGTCATGGGCTGACGTGAGTAAAGAAATTTAGTCATGGGCTGATGTGAGTAAAGAAATTTAGTCATGGGCTGATGTAGTTAAAGACATTTAGTCATGGGACGATCTGGGTAAAGAAATTTAGTCATTGGCTGATGTGAGTAAAGAAATGTAGTCATGGACTGATGTAATTAAAGACATTTAGTCATGGGCTGACGTGAGTAAAGAAATTTAGTCATGGGCTGATGTGAGTAAAGAAATTTAGTCATGGGCTGATGTAGTTAAAGACATTTAGTCATGGGACGATCTGGGTAAAGAAATTTAGTCATTGGCTGATGTGAGTAAAGAAATTTAGTCAGTTTTAACAAATGTTTACGAAAGCAAAAACGTCACTGAGACGCACAAATGACCACGAGCTATTTGCGCAGGAACAAACATTTTTCGATCGGAGGCGGTGCTTCGAACGGGTTGACATTTTGCACGGTTCGTGCCCACAGCCACTAGAGACGCCCTCTTCAGAGTACGTAGTGCCGGTCTTTCTGGCACTAAAAAGGACTATCTGCAATTTGCTTCGTTTATTGTTATTTAGTGGCAAACCACTAAAATCATGCTATATTCACAATGTTCTGAGGACGTACGGCAAAAACACTTTAAACGCCAGTGTCTTCCACCATTAAATCAGCCAGCAAATCAGTGTCATTTCTCTTCTTTAAAATATCGGTGACTCTTTCTCTTCATTCCTCAGTAGTGAGGACATAACTAAAAATGTGGAATTTGCAATTACATTCCTCAGAGCCACTCAGCTTGCAACATGGATCAACTACAGATACTTAGAAACATGTAATCTAAGAAAATGCTTGACAGTATGCACACGCTTGTCGCGAATCATCATTCTAAAACGTTTGCAAACCTTTGCTAGGAACTGTTCTTCAGTGGATATTGAAACGTTAAAAGGTCTTGAAGACCGAAATTTGGTTTTTGGGTAGGACGTACCAAATTAAAGAGACTTTCACAAATATATCAAATGAATATGTATTGTGACGTGCTGAGCTATGGATGACGCCCCTCCCCCCCCGCCAGCCGTGATGCGCCGAGCGAAGCCGAAGCGAGCCGATGTTAGCCGAGTCCTAGCATCCTGGTCGCTAGGCAACGCAACGCAACAGCGNTCACAAATATATCAAATGAATATGTATATATATTAAATAACAAATACAAATACAACCTAAGTACCTGGAGGTAATAAGCCTCCGACAATCACAATTGTACCGACCAGAAAAGGTGAATTGACTGCACAGTTCAGGGTCCCACAACAGAATGGATCACTCGCGTTGGACCTCAGCCGACGGGAACCAGGAAGTGGAACATTGGAAGGGGTAAGTAGTAAGAAAGGGGGTGGGGGGACGCCCTCTGACGTAACGTGGACCCGGCGTTACAATATACACCTTAACACTAACTTAATAAAAGGAATCAATTGTTTTAATATTACTGTCAGTGTGAGCTTTATGAACGTGGGAAGAATTTGTGTCTTTATCAGTGACTACCTCTCTGAACTGATAATAAAATTAGTAAACATATAAACATTATAATAAGGGATATAAAATGAATTTGAATATCACGTAAAGAAAGGCTCCTCTCGCTTCTGTACTCCTGTCATAATGTAGGAAAAGGTTAATATATAAAAATGTAGTACATTATCTGTATTGAAATGAAATTTATAATGTGCTGACATCTGCTACTAGGACACCCGTGGGACTGGAGGATGTTTCCCGTTATCCGTACCTCCTGGCGGAGCTCGCGAGAACTAAGGGCTGGACCATGACTCAACTGGAAAAGTTAGCAGGACGCAACTTCTTACGAGTTTTCAGAAAAGTTGAAAAGGTACTGTATTCTCTCTCAAGGCTGCATAAAACCAGCCGGCACTCCGCGTGATTTCAGTCAGCTGTTCTTACAGAAACATTTGTAGTAGAGATTTTCATGAAAAGCATAGCGGTCTTACGTAAGACTTTCGTTTAGACGTTCCAAAATGTATCTATCGTTAGCTAAATAATTTGATCTCAAACATTACGTAGGTATTGATTTAGTTTAGGGCATGCGGAGAAAGAGAAATCGAAACGCTGGAACGAGATAACATCCTACCCCTTCTAATGCCTGACTTCTTATTAGTCATGAAATTAGGTACAAATGAAAATTGAATTGTTAAATTTTCATAACTGAGTGAAATGTATGCCGTAATTATAGAATCCTCAAGACACAATTGTTCGGTAGGCTGACCGACAATACTTTCATACCACTTTTAATGTTGTATTCTCTGCTGCACTGTCCAAGTGCTTTTAATGAGGTTGTCCATGTAGGTTCGCAGCAAACCTCTGCCTGCCGATCACAGTGGCCGCGCGGTCTAACGCATGAACTATCTTCGCCGGCTCAAACACTGGGGTCATGCGTTCGAATCCCACTCGAGACACGGATGTCTATGTGCGTTTATTCTGCATTTGTGCTGTTTTATGTGTAGGTAGAGGCCTTGCGACAGGCTGATCCCCGTCCAAGGATTCCTACCGACTGTGTACAGATCAAGAAACTGAAAAAGCGGCTAAGGTCCGACAAAGAGCTATAGAACTATAAGAAATTTGAATACCTTTGTGTCCTCCGTGTTCAGACCATCCCTACCTCAAGTTGGTAATGTTATAACTACCATGTCAAGAATATAAAGTCTTGAAGTCCCTCATTAATGACTTCGTTTTGGAACGTAGGCCTATACGTCTCAATAGATCAACAAAAAGAAGAATGTTGGAATTAAGAGGAAATTATGTAAAGAATTTACGATAATGCAAGGTAGATGGAACTGGCTCAGGATCATTTCCTGTAATAGGTCTTGATGATAGCTGCATTAAATCTTGTGGTTAAGCTTTCTTTAGTTTCTTGGGGTGGGGTGAGACTGAGTCCATTTGGCACGTCGGCCACTGATTGGCCTATTGTACCTGCCCCAGATGATAGAAGATGAATGTGGAGCTGTCGGTGGAATGAGAATTAGCAGGGGAAATCGACGTACTGAGAGAAAACCTGCCCCAGTGCCACTTTGTCCACTAAAATCCCCACATGACCTGACCTGGGCTGGAAGCCGGGCCACTGAGTTGGGAATCCGGCCTGTGCTATAACAACGCTTTCTGGCACAGATACTAGAAATGTAGAAATAAATATCATAAGAAAAATATGGAAGCTCTATCACGCGGTAGTAATAACATTACTCTACAAGTAAACACAGACAGAAGAAGCACGTATATATTACGTGTATTTTCATTTCCACTCAACAGAATGTAAAACAGAACCATAACAGAAAGTTGGTCAGTAGTTCCTCCGAAAATTTGGCAGAGTCCAAATATTTGTAAGCGGCAGTAAAAGAAAAAAGTTATGTTCATGATGAAACCAAGACGAAATCGAAAAACGGCTTCCACTGTTATTCTGGAATATTTTATATACCTGTGCACTATCTTAACACCTGAAGATTGACGTAAAAACTGCGTATTATACAGCTGCCGCATTTGAGGTGCTTACAGCGGTAATTTTGAAGAGTTCTCTCTTCTTGGATATAACACGGTATAATCCTATTAAAGTTACCTAGCGTTCACTCAAGCGGTTAGTCGCTGGCTTCCCAGCGCAGCGGCCCGGGTTCGATCCCGGGTCTGGTCAAGTGGGATTTGTGGTGGACAAGGTGGCGCTGGGGTAGGTTTTCTCCGAGTACTTTGGTTTCCCCTGCCAATCTTCATTCCACCAATTGCTTCACAATCACCCTCACCTATAATCTGGGGCTGGTACAATAGGCCAGAAGTGGCCGCAGTACAAGGGACTTAGTCCCCCCCCCAGCAATAAAAAAATATCTAGTGTTCAGGATGAACATGTCTCCATCTTCAGGACTGAACAGTAAGCCAAGCAAGAAAGCAGCAAGCTTCTACATCTGATAAGACAGATTTTTTTATAATTTCATCTTATCCTTCTGGGGGGGGGGGTTAAATGAAGTCTCCCCGGTCGATCACAGTAGCCGCGTCAAGACATGAACAGCCTTCGCCGGCTCGAATAATAGAGTCTTGGTTCGAGTCTCACTCAAGGCATGGATATCTGTATGCCTTTATTCTGTGCTTCTGTTGTTCTGTGTAGCGGTCTTGCATCGGGCTTCTCCCCAGTCCAAAGAGTCTCCTACCGACTCTGTTTAGGATTAAGAAAGTGAAAAAGCGGCCAAGGTCCAAAGGACTGTAGAACCATAGAGGGGAAAAGATTACATCCTCCACTCTGAAGGAAGAACACACTCAGAATATTCGCGAGTAAGGTGCTGACGTGAATATTTGGACCCACGAGGGAATAAAACAAAAAATATGGAGACAACTACACAATGAGGAGCTTCTCGAATATGACTAGAGTCACTAATCTGAGGATAAGCTGTGGCACAAATAAGAAGAGAGAGATTAATACGAAATTCCAGCCGAAAACCCGAATGGAACACACAGAGAGGGGAAGGAGTTTTAAAATATACCCTTGAGAATTAGAGTGAGGGCGTGCAAACTGATTTAACCTGGCTTGGAAAGAGCCTATTGGCGAGCTTTCATGAACTTCATGCCGCATAAAGAGAAGCAAAAATGTATCTGCATTGAAGTGTTATTATCGACTTTTCAAGAAATGCCTCGCGCCATCGTGTTAGTGTCGGTCCATTGCAGCCTCTGCCTAACACGAACCTGTGACCACCCAGACACTCAAAAGCCGTTTGTAGAAGAAATGAATGGAGCATGTCATGAAATGTTGGTCCCGTTTCAACACAGAAGCCCAACCTGTAGTTAAAATGTAGGTCGGGTGCTGTATATTTAAGGAAGTAAGAGAAATGTGTATGTAAACCGTCTCTATTCCAAACCGAAATACATAATGCCAACCTGGCTGGGATATCCTCATGTTTCGTTAATTCTTCTCATTCATTCGGATTTCTGTTACAATTAAGTCAATGCTACTGAGCGTACCTTGAACCATTGACAGTTGCTCAGCTAGTTAATGAAGACTGGGGGAGAAATCAACATGAAGCAGATGGCAAGCATCTGCTGCCTGCTTCATGCTGATTTCTGGCTTGGCTTATTCTTCGATCGTGAAGATGAAGCCGACATGTTCCTCCGAAACGTCTCTTGATTTTCCACGGGCTACACAGTCTTATATCCCAAAAGATATAATACTTCAATAAAGCCATTTTTATACATAACCTCGAAGTTTCTTTAGTCACTGCATTCAGAGAACTGCAACATTGAACATTGACACACGGATGTCTGTGTAAGTTTATTCTGTGTTTTTGTTGTCCTGTGTGTAGGTAGCGTGGCCTCACCACGGGCTGATCACTCATCCAAGGAGTCCTATCGATTGTACATACGTGGTCTGACAGTAAAGTTCGCGAACTAATCGCGGTTAAAGTGCTACATGTCTCATTATTGAATATCATCGTGGTCGCCTTCAAATTACTCCTCTTGGGAAGCTGTACAATGATGGCAGTGCCTACTCCACCCTTCATAACAATTTTGAAACTGGTTTTATGGAAAGGCCTTCAGAGCTGCCGTTTTATTGGTCCTGATGTCATCATAATGCCTTCCTTTCAATGTTTCTTTTATCGTCGGAAACAGAAAAAGTCATTGGTGGCTAGATCCGGTGATTAAGTAGGTTGTTACAGCATAATTATCTGTTTACTAACTAAAAACTCCCTCACAGACAGTGCCGTGTGAGCATGTCCTTTTGAGCCATTTTTGCCCACACCTTCCTCATATCAAGATCTTCAGTTAATATTTCCCTTACTGTTTCTCTGTTGATGTTCGCTTCTTCTTCCATGTTTCTGACAGACAGCCGAAGATTTTCACGCATAGTTTGACGAGTATTTTCAATGTTTTCTTCAGTTCTGCTTGTTTCTGGTCGTCATGAAATCTCTTCGTCAGTGACACTTTCTCTTGTCTCAGAAAAACGTGTCACCAACTTGCAAACTGCTGTTCTCTTCATAGATTTATCCCTGTGAACTTGCACTAACATCTCTCTGATATCTCTTCCACTCTTGTCAAGATTAACAAGAAATTTAATGTACCTTCCTACAGTCTCGCGACGGCACACAAAAACACACTCAGACAATAATAGACGCCACTCAGAAAAAGACTGCCATAGATCAACAACAACACAGCTGTGAAATGCTGATATGCTACCGTCATCACACCTTACTGAGATTTCTGTCCACTGCTGCCACGCAAGAACACAGTGGCGATTTCATGAACTTTACTGTCAGACCATGTAAATCAAGAAAACGAAAAAGCAGCCAAGGTCCACAAGGGCTGTGAAGCCGTAGAGAGACAGAGATAGATAAACAGTAAATAAACTATACGAAATTTCATGCATGTATATATTATTTAATCTCGTTTCTTTTAGTTACATACTCACATAGTTTCATGCTAGCTGATTCCATCACCCTAACAACGTTAGTTCAAGAGTACGTCTAGAAAAACCTTAAGGGATTTATCCTTTCTTCATGCGTCATACTCTTCCTTGTCCACCTTATGTTCATATAGACCTATTTTATTAATATTTAGGCGAATATAACAGAATTGTTGTTTATTTCTGCTTTTTATATTCGCATTACTTGTCCTGTCCATATTGCATATCTTATCCTAACGACATTACCAAATCAATGCAAATTGTGGAGAAGGTCTCTCAATATACATGCCAACTTCTCGTACTCAGTAAGTCAGGTGATGGTGATCGAGCCAAGGGCCCTGATTACAGGTGAAGGAGGAACTCCGACGACTGGCCGTAGATCCGTACGAAGACTGGATACCGCCATCAGATCTACAGGACTACAACAAAGATGGCTGTCTTGGACGATGATGTTTACATAGCATGACCTGGTCAATTACTTAAGAATTATATATTTTTACTAGCAACAGCGAAACAGAGATTATCAATTGCACATTCAGTTAAACTCGAGAAGGCGAGGGGAAGTGTGTGTCGTGCTATTAAACAGGAAACTATGACATCATCTCTTAGTAGGTAATGCATATTTTTATTCATACTTGGTGAAAAAGTGTGTGTTGAAAGAGTGTAATCTTGTTACTTGACATGTGATGTAACGAGTATGAATTTCCGTTAAAATAAACATATCCTGGACATGTTCTGTATGTGTACAGATTGAGATTATTTTGTCTTGTTTTAATTTAACATATAGGCCTACAAAATATCTCACCTTAGCGTACCACTCTAAACAACTGAGCGTCTGGTCACTTACACTGATTTACCATTCATGGTGAATGGATTTGGATCAAAACTCCATCACAGAGCGGTGTTAGTGCATCATCTTAAGGAATAATATTTATTTTTTATTATTGCTAGTGGGGTGGGACTAAGTCCCTTGTGCTGCGGCCACTTCTGGCTTATTGTACCAGCCCCAGATGATAGGTGAGGGTGATTGTGGAGCAACTGGGGCCGCCGCGGTGGTAAGCCAGCGACTAAGCGCTTGAGCTATGGCGCCGCCACAAGGAATAATAATAATTCCATTTATTGAAATGTATGCACGAGAAAAGAGTAAGTTTGATTACGATGAAGTGCTCGTAATATGAACTTGGCTGTCAGTTTCTAAACATACCGTTTTATGTACACTAGGTGGAGAGTCCAGTTATACGGAAAACAAACGTCTCCAGTAAGGAATTTCCAATATTCTTCCATTTGTTTTCTTTTTATTAACATTTCGATATGGACATTTGTCGACAATTGACATTTTAATCAGTTTCTGCTACATTTTTATTTCTCTTTAACTAAATGATATTAACACTGCTGACGTCATTAGTGTCTTTCAGTCTACTTCCCTCAGGGTAAAAGGTAAGAAAGTGAAAGCTATCTTTGTAACAGGCGGTGGAGGCCCATAGGGCTGTGAAAGATCGAGGCTCCTACATCTTCTAAACAGTCGGCTCACAGAAGGCGGTGAGGCTGTCAGCCTTAAGAACCGGCCGCCCTTTACCCCCAGGAATATTCCTGGTACTCATTTCTTTTAGAGGCTGAGTCGACCCCAGGGCTATAGTGCGGCTGGAAGGATTGGGTAAATAGAAAAAATCCAATGACCTCATCGGGAATCGATCCCGCGACCTCCCGGCTTGTAGCATAGTGCCTCACCCAACCACACTACCGCGAGCCCCAGTTTAATTCCCCTATTTCGAAAAAATAAAAATAGGCTTGTATGATCACCTTGCTGTCTGTGTATTGCCACCTATATTTTTCAGGCAACGGCTCCGTAAACACGTTCTTGCAGCAAAGAATATACATGCAACAATACTGGTCGTTTTCTGTGCAGTCCGTATAGTGTGAAAGGAAAGTAAGTGATTGGTTCTTCCCGGAAATTATTTTTTCTTCTGTTTCTGTAAGACTTGAAGATTATTAAATTTGGTTTCTTACATATCTAGAGAACCTTTATTTACAAATAAAATAAAGTTTTTTTTCCATTTCATGCATCCTGTTGTGTAACAATATACAACTTACAATATACAGTCGCTGTTTATATTCCCCACAGTACGGACAATAGTTTGTAAGATGAGGCACCGACTAAACAATTAACATTAATTTACTGCATCTACATCACGAGCCTCCTATACAATCTTATATACAAGAAGAAAAAATATAGAATATTCCAATTTGGCCGTGGGAACGCAACGAAATTACAAAACCAACGACTGATTCTATGATATAAAACATAAATTTAAAATTTTATTCTTGTTTTATACTATAACTTCTGTTTTATATAATCTGATTTATTGTATTTTTTACGTCAAGTGTTTTATATGATTAATACTATTGTATCCAGTTTAATAGTACTGCAGTTCAGTGGTCTATATATGTTAACGTGTATTTGCCTGATGATGGCTATTGATAGCCGAAACATGTAGCAGAGCCGAAACTAGGCACTGATCTTGATATTTGTTGTGTTGTGACTTAATAAAGAAGTTGTATAAAATAAAGTGTAACAGTTGGTCACATTTTTTAAGGATTTTATCAGAGCACGTTTTTCTGGTTTGTCTTACGCTGCTGACAGTAATTAGGGTATATAGCATCGAATGTTAGAATGACAGATGCATGTTGAATGGAACGAATTTGGCAGGAAGCAGCTGTCGCCTAATGGCAGTACTATCCCAATATTTGCTTTGAGGGACTGGGTAAAATGACTCAAGTTCTCAGACAGCAGGTGTCAAAGCAAAGGTTCGAACAGAGCACATCCAGAATACGAGTCTATAGCGTTGCCGCTACATCAGACCACTCGGTAAAACGTTTGGTTTCTACAATATTAGACTGACTGCAATGCTGGGGTAAGTCTCTCCGTTACACACGCATACTTCCTACCTAAAACAGCACTGGATTTTGTGAAATGAAGTGGTCGTGGCCGAATTTAAGGTATTATCCAAGAATGTGTGTGTGCAGTAACTGTAGAAAAACAAGGAAAATCTGTCAAGATAATCGGTGCCCCGGTCGAAATTCGAACAGGGCACCTCCGCAGTGCAAGTCAGAAGCACTTCCGCTCAGCCAAATTAACTCAGTCCTATTAAAGATCAGGATGGTTCATTGCCGTTTTCACAAAATCCCGCCACTGTGCTTTATCGTGATCTATTTAATTAGACCGTCATCCTCAATTTGTATTTAATTTGTATTTAAGCGTCTAGGGTTTACTTATGAATTAAGGTATTTTCAAACATTATTTATATACATTTATCAAGGCCTCTATGCATGCTACATGTCCTTCCCATCTCCTTGTTGACCTTTTATATTATGTGAAGAGTTCGACTAATCACGAAGATGTCTCCTAGATATATTATTGTCTCCGTCATAGTGTTACTTTCCTTCTCCTAAGCAATATATTTCCCCCAGTTTTGTTCTGCCATCATGGAGATGAATGCTTAAATCCAATTGCACAATGTGATGAAAGTAAAGGGCAGAGTTTCTACGGATCCTGTCCGGCGGATGGCAGCAAACCATTAGGTTCCAATTTATTCGAATGTCTGTAATTAGCAAACAAATGACTGTGCAGCTCAAACTAATGGATCGAGCAGAGACTTAGAGCATCAATGGTATATGTGACCAAATTATTCCGCTTTTACTGTATGGAGCCGGACTCCAGATCCACAATTTAGAAACCAGGAAACTGTACATTGCAGTTAAGTGAATAGATCTTTTCTGCGGGTTTCCAGATTGGATTCCCAGCACGAAGGGCCCCTGTGATAATCTATATATTTGTATTTTCTTGTAAGATTTGAGGTTTTCACGGCGGTAACTATGAAGAAAGCAGTCTTCTGGGAAGTGGCACCGTGTAGATGTGGTGTTAACCGACGTTTCGGAGGAACGTATCGTCTCCATCTTCAGGGTATAAGGAAAAGTAAGAAATCCGCAAGCGAAGAGACCGTGAGAACCGGTACAAGCAGACTGAACTACTGACCTATTCGTTTCAAATCTTTATAAAGTAATTAATCATACTGTTATATCATCCGATGATGGGCAACTGTGAAATCATCGTTCTATAAAGCAATAAGGTAAAAAGCTCAGAATAAAGAAACTGACTTTAATGATATTTTATTGGTTATTTCTTGCATTAGCTGCTTTTCTATCTTTATCACGTCTTCCTTTCTCTTATTCACAATTAGAAAGTGAATCTGTTTCTATGCTTACATCTCGCTATATCTTCAGTTTAATTTATTTTACATATTTCTATCCCTATTTCTTGTCTCTATCACTTCCCCTTCTTTCTCTCGACCTGTTGTTTCTTGTTGAAAAGAAGGATTTCCGTTTGGTTCATACGACGTCCATGTTTTCTCGATTATCTGCAAACCTACTGAGCCGACCAGGCAGCCGGCCTTCTAAACAGCACCGTAGACCCAGAGCAAGAATCCTCTCTGCGGAATCCACAATTATGTGTCAACCGTGCGAAGGGCCTTTAATTCAATTTTTTTACATGACCGCTACATACAGCGGGAACCCTTTCATTTGTTTAAAACACAAGCAGAGGAATAAAATAAAATGTTGATGATTTTGAAATCTGTAACTTTTTCCACGTTTCATTTTAATGAATGTAAAATGAGAGATTTTGAATAATGAACGAGAATAGAATGTGCACATTTTCTGTAATTAATCCCGGCTAAACATTTTCCCTTTGTTCCACCGCGCAGTCCGTAGTCGGTTGCTCGGAGCGTGAGTAACATAAATCAAAGTTATTGAACCGCGAAGATTGAATGGCGCTAGCGATGTGCGCGGCCGCCATGTTAGAACTGTTCATGACGGGATGTTCAGAAGTGCCAGTGTGGAATGGTGGTCAATAATTATGACAGTAAAGCTGAGTTTTATGAAATTTTATTGGTTATTGTCGTACGTAATTGAAAAAGGACCAGGATGCAAAGGATGTACAGAAGGACTGACACGCACAGTCCGCCAACAGAGTTACGAGGAAGGATTTCTGTTCTCGAGCCTGGAACAGAAACACTGTGATTCAAACAGAATCGAATTACGTAATCGCTCAAGATAACTCATTTATGGAACTGGGCCCTCGTTGAGAAATCGCCAATTGTGCAACTACTCAAGAATTTCCCACCATTTCATGAAACCGAAGATTCATTACCGTGTTCACAACAGCCCTCCCGCATGTCCCTATCCTGAGCCAGATCAATACAATCCATACCATCTCGTCCTATCTCTCTAAGATCCACTTTAATATTGTCCACCCACCTACGCCTTGGTCTTCCCAGTGGTCTCCTTCCTTCTGGCTTTCCCACCAATATCCTATATGCATGCCTCCTCTCCATATTCGTGCTACATGCTCTGCCCACCTCATCCTCCTTGACTTAATCATTCTAATTTTACCCGGAGAAGAGTACAAGTTATGAAGCTCCTCATTATGCAGTTTTCTCCAACCTCCTGTCACTTCATCTCTCTTTGGTCCAAATATTCTCCTCAGCACCCTGTTCCCAAACACCATCAGTCTATGTTCCCATGTTTACATGACGGCATTTGATGAATGTGGAGAGATATGGACGGAAGTAGAAGGTAGTGAATTCAAGTAAGTTATAATGGGGTGGACATTTAACTAGAATGGAGAAGATATGCATACAGAATTTTCGTTAAGAAATAAGTCGAAGACGAACACTTGGAAGACCAAAGGAGGGAAGGGTTCC